CTAATTGAGGGGATTTATAAATATTCTCGCTATATGGCAAATATTTTCTTCAATTTCTGATTCAGAAGAAGAAAAAGAGCACAAATAACGAACACAAGTTGTTGGAACATCGCTGCCTAACGTATACTCTTGCATAATAGTCACAGTTAAATTTTGAAGATTTTACTACAATGTAAATATTGACAATCCCAATGTTTCCTCTTTAGTTTTTTCAATACACCAGGCGCGTGCGTGCACCATACCGCTTTGAAAGTGTTTTTCGCCTAAGCGCGCGGCTGCGCTGCGGCAAAGCGAGTCGCGAGATCGCGGTGATAGCTCTGTGGGCATTGCTTGTCCGCAGTGCACTGGTGTTTGAGGAGAGGCGCGCTCAAGGGGGCTAACTTGCCGCGTTGGACACTTCGAAAAGTACGAACATTGCAGTCGATTTTTAAACGAATATCAAATACGATATTGTTTGAAACTACTATTTAGAAATCTGAATATTTGCGGCACCCTGCTCTTCACACGCAGTGCTTTAACAGAAAAAAAGCAACAAAGCAGACGGTACTTTGTTACTCAAATAATGAGTAGTTGCTGTGCCTTTCTCCATGCCTTTCACTACTGTTACACCATGCTCAAACGAAAATTTCAGCTGAACGCGCAAAGGTTGTTCCCAGGATTCTGATTGTCCACCTATGACCTCCATTAAATTTATTCTAGCTATATTTATAGACTGCGGCCTGAGAAAGTCCAATGCCTACATTGAGACTTATCAGTGCTGAATGCTGGGCTAGTTGGTATTGGTCTTGGATTGCCAAAGGCATGGTAGCGCTTTTTAGACGACGAAAGAAAGACAAGACAGACACGAGCGCTCTCTGTCTTGTCTTTCTTTTGTCCTCGTCTTAAAAGCGCTACCATGCCTTTGGCAACCCAAGGCCTACATTGAGAAGGCGAGTAAACAACACATTTAACATAAAATTAAACCAATGTCACGTGCCACACTTTGTTTCCTTTTCAAGGACAGCCCCCTCTTGGCGCAGGCATGGTGCAAATTGTGCCCAAATACAGCCTTTGTAGCAGCATGTAGCAGGTTATTTGTTCTGGCGCAGTTTGGCCCAAATGGCGCAGCAGTTCCACCACTGGTTTAGTCAACGTGTTTAACATCATTGTTGTCATTTATCTGAAGCCTTGTCTGAAATCACTGGACATATATTTTCCTATCATCTGGAAACGTTTAAACAGTTTGTGACAGCAAAGTGTTATCACCTAAGCTTTCTGCCACACTATGTAAAACTTGGGATTTCAGACTTTTCGAACCATAACTACAGACAATTGCGTCTGCTCTGCATTAGGCAACGAGGTGGTGGCACTCATGAGACAATTGGACCATGGACTGTCGATTTTCTAAATGTAGCTTATTTAGTGGCCCTACCTTTACGAAAATATGTGTGGACGTCCTATGTCTATACCAGAGGTGGCCAGGCCGACCAGGCCTAAGAGCCGCAAACGAAACCACGAAACTTCTAAGAGCCACGGGGGGGGGGGGGAGAGGAGGAGGAGGAGGAGGAGGAGGAGGAGGAGGCGGCCAAGTTGAATTTTTGTTTAGAGTCTGACTGTACGTATGAGTGCACAAGGCTGTACGGCAGTACGTATGGAGGTACAAGGCTGCCAAACCGCGAGCCGTACTTCATTCTGCCTGAATTCCCTTCTTTTTTTCCTGGGGAAATGCGGGAAGGGGGGGGCGGGGGGAAGGGGGGGTCCCCATACGAGGGATCCGCGAGCCGTTTTTGGACCAGCAAAGAGCCGCATGCGGTTCGCGAGCCGCGGTTTGGCCACCCCTGGTCTATACTTTTGCCGTTCTATTACCCCTTTGTTCATCCTACGGATTCCTGTAAACAGTTCTTGGACCATTTATGTACCGCTGGTTTACCATAGAACAGCCACAACAATGCTATAGGGATCTCCGCCAAACAAAACGTTTTTCATTCCTTCCCGTTTCTGTGCTATGGTCCTGGTGAGTCTATGGACATCCTATTGCCTCTCTATGGTGTGAGCTATATATTGGTACGTTAATAAAGTAATGCCGGGTAGACGTTTTCTTTACGTATAGCAAGGTGTCAGAGTTAAAGAGTTGTTAATTGAGCGCCAGGGATCAATTTTTTACATTGATATCTGGAGGCCTGTCCAAACTCAGGGCAGCATATTCATTGTGGAGATGGAAGTGTTCAGTATGTACCGGAATAATTCCTTTAATTTCTCAGTGGGAGGTAGGCTAATGTGGGTCTCTGCGGCCCCCGCAGATATTTCCAACTTTCACGACCCATAGGGGGCACACTGGTGCCTATCAAAATGGTGGTCATCTGGATGCTCGTCGTAGAACAGCGGTACTAGGCTGGGTCTGCGACGCGTAAGTAATTCTGGTTTTTCTATATACGAGCAGTATCAGAGGAAGGTGTAAGCAAGCCCTTTTATTAGGAGGCCAATCATTCAGGAGCTAAGAAGCACGATTCTCTCACCGCGGTACCACCATCGCTGAAAGTTGCGAATACCCCCTGCAGAGGACGACTTCACGAAGGCAACAGCAGTTGTGGTCTGCCTATAGATGCCTTATGTTCTGCCTATGGATGCTGCTCTATAGAACGTCCTAGGAGTGTCCATACATATTTTTGTAAGGGTAATGGCAGGCATTGGTCCAACCACTTTCGCCAAACATCCGCCAATGCCAACGCCAGATCAGCAGCCAACCAGTGCCACCCGTCAGCCACTGCATGGCGCCCTGCCAATGGCACTATACCAGCCCAACGACCGACATGGTGCCACACTCGACCACTGCTGCTCTGCCGATGGCACAATACCAGCTCAACGATCGGCCTTGTGCCGCCCTTGGCCACTGGTGTTCTGCCGGTGCCACTATATCATCTCGGTGGCCGACCCAAAGCTGCCCCGGCCGCTGGCGTTCTGCCCGTGCCACGATCTCGGGTAAGTGGCCGACCCAAAGCCGCTCTCGGCCGCTGGTGTTCTGCAGGTGCCACGATCTCGGGTAGGTGGTTGTCCCAAAGCTTCCCTCGGCCACTGGTGTTCTGCAGGTGCCACGATTGCAGGTCGGTGGTTGTCCCAAAGCTGCCCTCGGCCACTGGTGTTCTGCTGGTGCCACCATATCATCTCGGTGGCCGACCCGAAGCTGCCTCGGCCACTGGTGTTCTGCTAGTGCCACTATATCATCTCGGTGGCCGACCCAAAGCTGCCCCGGCCGCTGGTGTTCTGCCGGTGCTACGATCTCGGGTAGGTGGCCGACCAAAAGCCGCCTCGGCCACTGGTGTTCTGCAGGTGCCACGATCTCAGGTAAGTGGTTGCCCCAAAGCCGCCCTCGACCACTGGTGTTCTACAGGTGCCACGATCGCAGGTCGGTGGTTGTCCCAAAGCCGCCCTAGGCCACTGGTGTTCTGTCGGTGCCCTTATATCATCTCGGTGGCCGACCCAAAGCTGCCCCGGCCACATGGTGTTCTGCTGGTGCCACTATATCATCTCGGTGGCCGACCCAAAGCTGCCCCGGCCGCTGGTGTTCTGCCGGTGCCACGATATCATCTCGGTGGCCGACCCAAAGCCGCCCTTGGCCACTGGTGTTCTGCAGGCGCCACGATCGCAGGTCGGTGGTTGTCCCAAAGCTGCCATAGGCCACTGGTGTTCTGCCAGTGCCACTATATCATCTCAGTGGCTGACCCAAAGCTGCCTCGGCCACTGGTGTTCTGCTGGTGCCACTATATCATCTCGGTGGCCGACCTGAAGCCGGCCTCGGTCACTGGTGTTCTGCCGGTGCCAGGATCCCAGGTCGGTGGCCGACCCAGTTGCTGCCCTCGTCCACTGGTGTTCTGCCGGTGCCAGGATCCCAGGTCGGTGGCCAACCCAAAGCCGCCCTTGCCCACTGGTGTTCTGCCGGTGCCAGGATCCCAGGTTGGTGGCCGACCCAAAGCCGCCCTCGGCCACTGGTGTTCTGCCGGTGCCAGGATCCCAGGTCGGTGGCCGATTCAAAGCCGCCCTCGGCCACTGGTGTTCTGTCGGTGCCAGGATCCCAGGTCGGTGGCCGACCCAAAGCCACCCTCGGCCACTGGCGTCCTGCCGGTGCCACGATATCATCTCGGTGGCCGACCCAAAGCCGCCATCGGCCACTGGGGTCCTGCTGGTGCCAGGATCTCAGGTCGGTCGCCGACCCAAAGCCGCCCTCGGCCACTGGTGTTCTGCCGGTGCCAGGATCCCAGGTCGGTGGCCGACCCAAAGCCACCCTCAGCCACTGGCGTCCTGCCGGTGCCACGATATCATCTCGGTGGCCGACCCAAAGCCGCCATCGGCCATTGGGGTCCTGCTGGTGCCAGGATTTCAGGTAGGTGGCCGACCCAAATCCGCCCTCGGCCACTGGTGTTTTGCCAGTGCCACGATATCATCTCGGTGGCCGACCCAAATCCGCCTTCGGCCACTGGTGTTTTGCCAGTGCCATCGATATCATCTCGGTGGCCGACCCAAAACCGCCCTCGGCCACTGGTGTTTTGCCAGTGCCATCGATATCATCTCGGTGGCCGACCCAAATCCGCCCTCGGCCACTGGTGTTTTGCCAGTGCCATCGATATCATCTCGGTGGCCGACCCAAATCCGCCCTCGGCCACTGGTGTTCTGCCGGTGCCACGATATCATCTCGGTGGCCGACCCAAATCCACCCTCGGCCACTGGTGTTCTGCCGGTGCCACGATTTCAGGTTGGTGGCCGACCCAAATCCGCCCTCGGCCACTGGTGTTCTGCCAATGCCACCATGCCAGCTCGGTGGCCGACCCAATACCGCCCTTGGCCCTTAGTCTTCTGCCAGTGCCCGGCCATTGGTGCCCAGCCGATGCCTGAGCCAGGGGTGCTCGGCCATGGGGCCCGGCCCTCCCAAAGCCCGGGCAGGTGGGCCTTTCTTATGCCGAGGGGCCATAACGAGGTCGGCACCGACCTCTTTGGCCGGGCAATGGCCGATGAAAAATGGCTCGGCCATGGGGATATGGCCATCCTTCGGCCGAGCTCCCCGTGCTACTTGGGTAATCAATAAAATGGTGAGTTGGGCCAGTTGGTTCATAATGGAAAAAGACAAGCGCCGAAAGACCAGGACAAAGTAAGAAGACGACAACACAAGGCGCCTTGTGTTGTCGTCTTCTTACTTTGTCCTGGTCTTTCGGCGCTTGTCTTTTTCCATTACGGTAATCAATACTTCGACACAGCAGTCTTTGAGTTAAAGAAAAATTTTTGTAGTAACGTATGATTTTAACAAATACAGGAATGTTTATGAACATGCGGCGGTACTTAGTTTCATTTTAGAAAGCGCCATATTGCTTTCAGGAGCGAGGGCTTCAGCTCACTAAGTAACACCCGCCGCGCAAAAACATGGTTTCGTTTCACAGCATGACGGCATGGCTGGTACCCGGCAAGCTATAGCGTCGGGCCGTCCGCGGACACCAGCGTCTATAATTGAAAATATAAAAAGACGCGAGACGAGACTTACGAGACGACGAGAGCGCGAAACGCGAGACGGCAGGAAAACCATCCAAGACCGGATGGACAATTGATGCAGAGTACTTTGTGTTGGGTGGCCGCTTGCGCCACATAACACACGCATTCTCAATTACAGTACTTAGTTCAATGTCGGTTTTGAAAGGCGACCAAAATTAATTTTTTGGCACAGATTGCCCTTATTTTGGCCAAATGTAGCAGGTTATAGCAGGGTTAGCCCCTTGGCGCAGCAATCACATCACTGCATTGGCAATGCTGAACTGGGAAAAGTGCCCAGTCGTACGAAATCTAGAATAGTTTCCTGGGTAACAAGCCATTTGCTGACAATCAACCGGTAAGTGCGCGCCTGCATTCTCATGTCTCTCGTTTAACAGATGCTGAGTTTGTGGTATGCCCACAGATATCCAGGAGGACTTTACGAGACGGCTGCAAAGGCCCTCTTGCAGTGGTATCCCGTGCTAAGGGATACAATTGGCACAGGCTGGATGAGCACAAACACAGTTACAGTTACGCAGCAGGTACAGTAAGGAAACACATGAAAATATGCCTGTTTTTGCCCTAGATTTCCTTTCTGTGCAGCGTGCACTTTAGCCATAGTCCTAAACTTTGTGTTACCACACAATTGTAACAAGGAGAAAATATTTATTCACAGGACTCATGGAAAGTGTGTTTTCAATATAAGTTGGGAACTGTGAGAAAGACTCTGGACAGAGTGCCTGCTGTACAAGCAGCAAGGGAGAAATTTGGCAAGCGAAAAAACGTTCAGGACAGTGCGGCTACTAAAAGACAGTGTCGTAAGGTGAGTCACAATCTCAGCATTTCAGAGCATTTGAAAATTTGGTATCTGCTTGGACCAGCCGCAGCCTTATTCGATACAAGGCCCCAAGACGTTTGTTTTGAAAGTATAATTTATAAGGGCTTAACATTGCAGGTATACATTAGGCTTATTATAAGAAAGCAAGTATTTATGTAGCGGGATGGCAACACTGCAGCATGCACTGGCCTCATTTTGATTGTGAACTGCTTAAGGAATATTTTAATTACATTTTCCTAGAATCAAAACTAGGTCGTCACCTGATGTTCAGTGCGCAAATCAGTGCCAGCTAGTACGAGAGCTTCTCAATGTTATTGGTGGAGTTTCTTTCTTGTTAGACTGCAAATGTCCCGCTAGACACAGATGTCGAGTTCGACGAATCCGTCATAAACGGACATTTTGACTTCATGACGAGAGAGATGAAACGACGTTCTCCTGATCTAAGGAAGCTCGGAGGTTCTATGAAAAAGACTCGCTCTTCGAGAAGAAAATAGATTATGGAGACGCAGCCATGAACAGCTGATTTACTGAAAAAGTACCCAGCCTTAGCGAAAGCTGAAATGGTGAGCAGAGCATGAGGCTAGTACTTGTAATGTTTCCACATAGAATGTATGCGCACAAAATTTTATAACTTTCTCAATTAACTTTTTGCACGAATGCTATAAAGTCCGTTTCTATTTAAATTGTATTGCTATAACAGTCATGTTTTCCTGTCCAATAATTCCATACAAATGCTAATCCCATAATTTTAGCTGCACCAGGAGTTCATTGCCATCACAGGCGTAGATTTGGCATCAAAGTTGCTGGCATTAATTAACAAGTACGGGGAGAGATGCCTCTACCTGGTGAAGTCTCGCTGCTGCGCGAAGGAGACGGTGCACGAGCTGGAAGCAGACCTCGAAAAACTGGAAGATGCCAGGAAGTGTATGTGTTACAAACCTCCTCCTTGGATTGCCTAGTATTGTTTTAACAGTGCTGTGACCATGCTGTTGCTCGTCGTAATTGAAATTTTCTTGCAACGGATTGCTTTGCAGTTGGCATGTTACAGTCATTACTAAAGGAACAGCCGAGATTTCCAAAAGACCCTCTTCACTTTTTCGCGTTTTGGGTCGTTGGAACTGGACTGATTTTCAAAAATGCAAATGTAACAGGACATCTACCCTGGACTTCGTCTTGAGAGCTCAAAGGCACACAAGGCCAAAGATATATTTCCCGTGTTTGAAGGCCTGAATGTGGAGGTCGTCGACATTACAGCTCATGTCACAACCGCGATAGAGATTTATTGGATCTTCAACATCAAGCACCCAAACCAGAACAAGGACACGTTGGCGCTCCTCGAGCACTTCTGCGGACTTCCACGGGCACCGCAGACACTATTGGTGATGCGGGCAATTTCTGCCATCGAGAAGGTTTTGAAGGATGTTGAATGATGTCTAGTATATATCTGCTGAATAAGTGTTCAGTGTTGAATGCATGCTGATTAAACGTTCAAGAACTAATTATGCTGTGCTATTTTTTTCTTGCTGATGGCTTGCTAAAGAATGCGAGCCATAGTTTTTAGAGTACTGTATACGTTAAGCTAGTAGTTTCTACTAGGTTTCGCGGATGAGGTCAGTTCCCGTTAATAGCGTCTTTGGTAAATGTTACTAACCCTTCCGTTACTAACTGCAGTTATTAAGGGGTTAGTAACATATGTGATAAGCAGTTACTAACCTATGGTTAGTATGTATAACGACTTTTTTGTTTTAAGAGTGCACTTCAATCTGCAGCTGCATGTTTCAAGTGTGAGTGCCCACCGTCAAACACGCGTCAAACACGTCTCAGACAGAGACTCCGTTGCAACGGGTCCCTGCAAGTGCTTGTGATCTGCAGCAGCTTTGAAATCACGTCCCCAGAGGTACTTCCGAAACTTGATCCCACCGAAGATTAGGCCCAACGCTTCTTCATCGAGCTGACTGTAGTGCAGGGAACAGGACTTCGAGAAGCAAACGCAATTGGTCGTTTAGCAGCCGAGTCTTCTCGGTGAGCCATAACAGCATAAACTCTGTACGGCGAAGCATTTCAGAAATGCGCCAGCGCTTTCGCTGGATCTGTAGGAATCAATACTGCAGCAGACACCAGCAACTCCTCGCTTCTAAGAAAATAATTTTCCCGGTCAGAAATCTAACTGCAACACCTTTTTGCTGCAATGAGCTGATTCAGTGAAAGTAACACGCCCGAAAGGTTTGACAGGAACCTACAACACAAGTTGACTAGTCCCCGGTAGCTCTGCAACGTCTTAACATCCGAAGGTCTTGGTGCTTACAGTACCGCTTTAGTCTTCTAGTGGTTCGGTTCGAACCCTTTATAGATAATGACATGACCCAAGTTTTCAACCTGGGTAACCAAGAACTCGCATCCCTTTAGCTTCAGCTTCAGCCCGGCTTGCTTCAGATGATTTTCCACCGGGCCCGGGTTTCCAAGGTGGTCTTGGTGGTTCTGGCCAGTCACGACAATGTCGCCGAAATATTCGACGACATGTCTGAGGTCTTTCCAGCTGTTTGCTATAACTTAATGAGTCAGCAGTTCGTGCTATCCGACTATGGTGAGGGAAAATTGCGGAAGCTGAAGAAGGGCGCTATCCAAAACATCTTTTGGAGTTTGCAGCCTTTAGGTATCACTAATATGAAGAATGCTATCAGAAGGAGGTGCAGCACTCTAGACTCATCAATATTCCCCAAGAAGAGGAAATGCCTGGACACTGGCATTCCGCAAGTGACTGATGCGACATCAAGCTCTATACTGGACACTTCACTGACCTCCTCCGAGTGCAATGAAGGTGCTTATCAAGTCCAAATCATCTGGACATTTTCAGCGAGCACTTTGAAGCCTCAAAACAGGCCGGCATCAAAACTGTCAGACAGCAGCCATGCCAACAGCCAGTGCTGTTCACACATCAAGCAAAAACAGGCGGGCGTTCGAAAGATGTCAGTAGAGATAGCCGTCGGGAAACGTAAATGGACCCGGCGAATCACGGACATGCGAAAGAAAGTGGAGACATTCAAGAACGCTGTTGTGTATTACAAAAACGACTTGGAAGGCTTGCAAAACCTGATAAAAGAATATGATGTCACAAATTGTCTTAACATCTGTGAAGATGCAAAGTCAAAGAACATGTCGGGTATGTTTCTATTCGACCAAATAAAGTACTATAAGAAAAGCCCAAGATGAGCAGAAAATATTGCCGCGCCCAGAGCTGAGAAAGCAACGCTCAGTCACGGACCTCCAGAAAGTTCTCGTTTATTCATGTACCGCATGTAACTTCTCTCATTTATTCCTGCTTTTGTTTTCTAGAAAGTGCGTGTTCATTCTCGCCCGATCACGCGACGCTCGAGCCACTTTCGCCGAATCTTCGAGATAGCGACGCACTCTAGATAAGAGGCCGCCCGCGACCTTGTCGAGTCAGTTTCGCCTCAGCGTTCGACCTTGCTGCTTCGCCGCCTTCGACGCCCGCGACGCTCTGTTGTTATTTTTCTATTTCCTTTTATTTTTGGCACAAGTTCGCCACATTAAACGTCTATTTCTTTCTGTGTATTTATTGTTTCTTTTGGTCACCACCCGTGACATTTTGGTGGAGGTGCTGGGTACCGCATGCCCCTGCCGCGTACCCCTCCGAGGGCCCGCAGTCCAAGTCCGACGCCTAGCCCACGAAGAACCAACGAAAGCACTTCCGAGATCCGGTTCAGTCGTCGCACCCAAGGCCTACACCCGGAATTCGGACCTCTGCCGCCCAAGACTAAGCAGCCAACGAGACCAACGATGGACAGCCAGTCGTCGCAGAACCCGTCCACCGCCAGCGTCGTCGTCCTGCCCGTCGCACCCCGGACTCCGACGCCTTTCCACGGGGAGATCCACGAAGACATCGAAGACTGGCTGCGACACTACGAACGTGTAGCCCGCCACAACGGATGGACGACTGAGCAGTGCCTCCACAACCTTTACTTCTCGCTTGAAGGCACTGCGAGGCACTGGTTTGAAAACCACGAAGCCTCCTTCCCCACATGGGAGTCCTGCCTCGCCGAACTCAAACGAACATTCATTAACCACCATCGTCGCCAGCGAGCAGAGGACCTGCTTCAAACAAGGGTGCAGGGCCCCAATGAAAGCCTGACCAGCTTTGTAGAGGATGTTCTGCGTCTAAGTGCCCGAGCAGACCCGGAGGCCGCTGAGGAAAAGAAACTTCGAATCCTCATGCGAGGCGTCAAGGCAGAAATTTTTGGAGGCCTGGTTCGCAATCCCCCGACGACCGTCGATGCATTTGTGTGTGAAGCCACGAACATCGAGCGCGCACTGACGGCCCGAGCAAGCCACTACCACCGACTCGCCGGCGCGCCTACTTCTCCAACCGTCGCAGCTACACTTCCGGACCTGAGCACCACCGGTGTCGACAGCCTTCGGGATATCGTCCGGGATATCGTCCGGGAAGAGCTCCGGAAGATTCTACCTGCTGCAGATCGCCCAGCCTCACTCTCACTCGCCGACGTCGTCCGAGAGGAAGTTCACCGAGCTTTCCATCCCGAGGTTGCCGTCACCGCAGCAGCACAGCAGGAGCCAGCCGTAAGCTACGCCGAAATGCTCCGCCGAGCACCATCAGCACCGCGTCCGTACATGGCGCCTCCCGGACGTGTGCTTCCAGAGCCGCAGCATTCCCGACGCCAGGAAGATCGGGCACACGTTCGTCCAGAACCAGTTGCGCCAAGGAAGACCGACGTGTGGAGGACGGCTGATCGACGCCCGTTGTGCTACCACTGCGGGGAAGCCGACCATATCTACCGTCGATGCCCCTACCGCCAGCTCGGCCTACGAGGGTTCGCGCCCAACGACCCTCGACCACGTCTTGGAGAGCGACCTCGGGACATCGAGGACTACCTCCGCCGCTCTTCAACTCCTGAGTCGTCTCCCCGCCGAGTATTCCGTTTGCCATATCCCCGACGCTCGCCATCGCCCTTCCGCCGGTCTCGCCGAGACAGCCTGTCACCCATTGCGTCCCGTCGGGAAAACTAGGCGCGGCAATGCCGGGAGGTGGTGTTGCCGAAGACGAACGATGCCAAGATCCTCCAAGATCGTCGGAGCTCTCCCACTCTAACGCCGCAACGCCCCGAAACGACGTTTCTGTAACAGTGTCGAACAACCTCAACGTTATCATCGACGGCCACGACGCGACAGCACTCGTCGACACCGGAGCGGATTACTCCGTTTTGAGTGGGAGACTCTCTCGTCGCCTTCGGAAAGTTACGACGTCGTGGGATGGACCACAGATACGAACCGCCGGCGGACACCTCATCACGCCTGTCGGCAGGTGCACTGCTCGCGTTGAGATCCATGGTGAAACCTGCCCTGTCAAGTTCGTCGTTCTGCAAGACTGTTCGAGAGACGTCATTCTCGGAATGGACTTTTTGTGTGAATACGGCGCCATCATCGACCTTGGGGAGAACAAGCTGACGCTTCGGAAACCTGTTCCCTCGGCGGAAGATCCCAAAGCGACGTTAGCTGCAGTGCGAGTCCTTACCAGCCACGTAAACCTGCCGCCGCTGTCCAGTGTCTTTGTCCCCGTCGGGACCGACGAAGCCACCTGCGGGATAGCACTGTTGGAAGGAAGCGTCCAACTTCTCCTTGGACGAGGGATTGGTATTGCAAGAGGCGTAACCGAGCTCCAGGACGGGCGTACCGTAGCCCTTGTCACCAACTTCCGGCAAGAGTCGCAGCACCTTACAAAGGGTACAGCTGTGGGCTACGTCGAGGAAATTCAGGACTCGGCCGCCATCGCCGTGATCTCAGAAGACGCCTCTCCGACGCACCACAAGGGAACCACGCCGTCAAAGCTCGACATCGACCCATCCCTCCCAGGCCCACAACGACGACAGCTGACTGACGTTCTCGCTGAGTTCAGTGAGTGCTTCGCCACATCGTCAAGGCTACGCCAAACAGCGGTTGCGAAGCATCGAATTGTTACTGACGATGACGTGCCCCCTATTCATCAGTCGCCGTACCGAGTTTCGGTGAAGGAGAGGGAAACCATCCAGAAACAAGTTCAAGAAATGCTCGACGACGATATTATTCAGCCTTCAAGCAGTCCGTGGGCCTCTCCAGTCGTGCTGGTGAAGAAGAAAGACGGAACCCTTAGGTTCTGCGTGGACTACAGGCGGCTGAACGCTGTTACAAAGAAAGATGTCTATCCGCTTCCCCGCATAGATGACACCCTCGACCGTTTACGCCACACCCGGTACTTTTCGTCGATGGACTTGAAGAGTGGCTACTGGCAGATTGAGGTCGATGAACGGGACCGCGAGAAGACTGCCTTTGTCACGCCCGATGGACTTTACGAGTTCAAGGTGATGCCCTTCGGACTCTGTACGGCGCCGGCGACTTTCCAGCGGGTCATGGATACTGT